AATACTGACAAAATTAATATACAAATTCAATGCAATTCCTATTAAAATCCCAATGACGTACATCACTGAAATACAGAAAACAGTCCAAAAATTCATATTTTTGGACCTAGAATAGCCAAAAGACCTAGAATAGCCAAAAGACCTAGAATAGCCAAAACAATTCTAGGGAATAAAGACAACATGGGAGGGATATTCATGCCGAACATCAAACTCTACTATAGAGCTATAATAACAAAGACAGCATGGTACCGGCACAAAAACAGACCCGAAGACCAATGGAATAGAATAGAAGATCCAGAAATAAATCCACAGGCCTACAGTCAGCTGATATTTGACAAAGGAGCCAAAGACATACAATGGAAGAAACACAGCCTCTTCAACCACTGGTGCTGGGAAAACTGGGCGGCCAGATGCAGAAAACTAAAAGTGGACCCCAGCCTATCACTATGCACCAACATCAACTCAAAATGGATTAAAGACCTTAACATTAAACCTGAATCTCTGAAACTACTACAGGACAGAGTAGGAGAGACACTTGAACTAATAGGCACAGGAAGGAACTTCCTGAACAGAGTCCCAGGGTCACAACAAGTTGGAGAGAGACTCAACAAATGGGACTACCTTAAAATAAAAAGCTTCTGCACAGCTAAATCTATCGCAACCAAGCTAGAAAGACAACCAACTAATTGGGAAAAAATATTTACAAGCAATATATCAGACAAAGGGTTAACATCCAGTATATACAGGAAACTCAAGAAACCCTCCCAAACCTAACAAACCAATTACTAAATGGGCAAGGGAACTAAAGAGGGACTTCTCAGATGAAGAGATAAAAATGGCAAAGAAACACATGAGGAAATGTTCACCATCCCTGGTGGTGAAGGAAATGCAAATAAAGACAACCCTGAGATACCACCTTACCCCAGTCAGAATGTCCCACACCCACAAATCAGCCAATGACAAATGCTGGAGGGGATGTGGAGAAAGAGGAACCCTATTACACTGCTGGTGGGAATGTACACTTATACAACCACTTTGGAAAGCAGTCTGGAGGGTCCTCAGAAAGCTAAAGATTGACCTCCCTTACGACCCAGTCATACCACTTCTAGGCATCTACCCTGAACAATAGGAACCAATATACAAAGACACATGCACCTCCATGTTTATTGCAGCACTGTTCACAATAGCTAGGATATGGAAACAACCCAGATGCCCCATCACAGATGAATAGATCCAAAAATTGTGGTATCTATACACAATGGAATATTATGCAGCCATTAGAAATGACAAAATAATGGCATTTGCAGGGAAATGGATGGAGCTAGAAGAAATCATGTTGAGCGAGGTAAGCCAAGAGCAAAGAGACAAATGGTACATGGTCTCCCTGATAAGTGGATGTTAAATCCAAAATGTTAGGTGATACGACAAAATTAACAGGACTTAAGAAACAAAGAACTTCCACTCATCTGGTCGAACCACTACTAAATAGCCCCATGCTGCTGATCACATGTATGGTGTATAACATGTGTACACTGTTATATGTTATAGACCGTGATAGACAATTTGCTCCAGGAAAGTTAGAATGAGCTTGTGACTTTGAGCATCATTATTCCACAATACTGTGAAATTTGGGAAATTATGTCATCACTTAATCACAATAAAAAAAAACACCAGAAAACTAGAAGTGGCTCAAGTGGTAGAGTATGAGCCTTGAGCTGAATTGTTCAGGGACAGGCCTAGAGTTCAAGCCCCACGACTGACAAAAAGAGAGAGAGAGAGAGAGAGAGAGAGAGAGAGAGAGAGAGAGAGAGAGAGAGAGAGAGAGAGAGAGAGAGAGATCTTTCATGCGATTGTTTCTAACATATTTGTAAGATAATGTCTTTGTTGCCTTGTATGTCCCTCCCCATGGTAGAACCCCTGCTTTCACTATAAATGATGCTGGTATATGTGGAGGGGAAGGGAAAAAACAAATCGTTAAAACAGGGATACAGGAGGACCCATTGCAACAATGAGATATACAAATCATTATGTCAAAAAACGAACTTTACAACTTTTTTTGGGGGGGGGAACAAAGCAGGAGGCTACAATGCTTGATAAGAAATGTGCTCATTATCTTACCCATGTAATTGTAACCCCTCTGTACAGTATTTTCACAATAAAAATTTATTTTTTTTTAAAAAAAAGAGAGATAATGCTCTGAGATGCTGTGGTTGGGGTAGGAGGAAGAAAGTGAAATCTACTTGGTGTTTTCTCTTACCTCTCCTTTCCCTACTGCCCTGACATCATTGACGGGCAGGAAGCTGTTAGAGAAAACTATAGGGATCCTTCCTCACATGTGCTGAGCATCAGTATCGGGGTGGCAGGTAGGAAGGCAGCAGAGCACTCCAGGACCTACTCTCTGACCTCATGATGCCTGTCTAAGCAAAACAAGGAATCTGCCCCTATGATGAAAAACTCTGGGGAATCTGCCCTCCACAGACCCCAAATTCCTCAAGTACATCTTTCTTTGTCTTTTTGTAAATGATAACATCTGACACAAGCACAGCTCATTGTATAAGAGCTCAGCTTCCATCATTCATAAAAATTAATTAACTAGTAATTTTTACTATTAATAACACTGGTCCTATTTAAAAAGGGGAGTATTGCTGAGTGTTGGTGGCTCACCCCTGTAATCTTAGCTACTCATGAGGCTGAGATCTGAGGATCGCAGTTCAAAGCCAGCCCTTGCAGGAAAGTCCGTGAAACTCTTTCCAATAAACCACCAGAAAACTGGAAGTGGCACTGTGGCTCAAGTGGTAGAGCGCTAGCCTTGAGCTGAAGAGCTGAAGGACAGCACCCAAGCCCAGAATTCAAGCCCGACGACCGCCAAAAATAAAATCTAAAAAGGGCAGTATTACTTAGGGTCAAGATGGAAGAAATATGATATTTCTCTATATAAAGTCTTGGCAATGATAAATGCTTTGCTTTACATATTTCTTTTGTTTGGTGCTATGGCAAACATACACACATACACACACACACACACACACACACACACACACACTCCACCAGCAGCAACAACAACAATGTGAGTAGAAACTAGCCACTAGAAACAAACTACAGAACTGAATAGCAATTCAGAAATGTGCACATGTGCATACAAATGAGCTAAGGGCTCAGGGCAGAACTGAGATTACAAGCAGACCACTTGACTGCTCATCCAGTCTGAGCCACTTCCAGGCCTCTGCAGCTCTCTTCTGTAGTTGGGGCAAGATGTGGATGAAGTATGTGTATGTGTGAGAGAGAGAGCCAGACAGACAGACAGACAGACAGACAGAGACAGAGAGAGACCTCTGAGCTGCTAAACAAATGCCAACTGCCCTGGCTCTCTGTGTGTGAGATTAACTTCGAGATACAATTCTTTTAAAACCCCCCTTAATCTTTTTGCTCAAAGCTGATGCTCTACTACTTGAGCCACAGCTCCACTTCTGTCTTTTTGGTGACTAATTGAAGATCAGAGTCTCACAGATTTTCCTAGCTGTCTTAGAACCTCAGTTCTCAGATCACACCTTTCTGAGTAGCTAGGATTATAGGCAAGAACCACCTGTGTCCACCTTTGAAAATATAATCTTGAAAAAGATTCTGACATTGCCATGACTACATCCCAAATTCAGAGCAGTAGGCAAGTGAGAATTGCAGCTCAGGCTCAATGCAACTGTGCAATGGTTTACTGGGCTTTTAACTACCTGTGAGTGTAATGTATCAGAGTCAAGGGGGCATGGAGGAAGAAGAGAGCCTAATCATAGGAGAAAGAGAAGCTTTCATTTCACAAGGGTAAACACAGGCCAGCAGTGAGAAGGGGGACCGAGTGCTGTGTGCCTCCAGACACAGACAGCACCGTGCCTGATGCTGCGAAGTCACCAAGAACGAACTAAAATGTCCCTTTCCACAATTTCATATTAAGAAGTCTTAACCATCTGACCAGCGTTTCATGGAGGTCTTCAAGTGAGGCCTCTGTGGTTTCTCTACAGCTCTTGTCTGTGAGGACAAGCACACAGATACCTCTTTGTAAAACTCTGGGGTAAAAGGAGTTTAACTCTAGAAAGGCACATGGCCCTTCGCAGCATACAGGACATGGACAACTAACTCCACTGCCTATGGAAGACAGGTCACGTGCTGTGGTGACTTGTATCAGCCTACCCTCAGCTTCTCCATTTAGCTGGGTTCCCCCAGCTGTGGGAACAGTCCTCAGTCATTTCTGTAATTGCTACAAGCAAACATACTCAATGTAAAAAGTACATGTGTATGAAGAGTTTCCAGCTAGGACAAATGCTCAAGCAGAAATAAATTCAAATGTTTCATCTAATTTTACCAAATGTCACTAACTTCCTTCAATAGTCAATGTTTCAAAGGTATCATCCTTGAATAAGTAAGATTTATGTATGAAAAACATCAGTACCAGCTCTAGCCTACTTTATTGGGGGCCACAGATGTATCCTATTTTCCTGCATGTCTCCTTTACTGGATCTCTCTCTGTTTTGTGGGCTGTTTCTACAACCTAAGTGCCCAAGTTCAAACATCAACACCAGGTATTAGAAGCAAGAGAAATTAGAAACAATTGGACCAAGACAAGTAGATGAAATACCAGAAAAGACCAAGGGGACGACATACTACCCAAAGTCTAAGAGATCTTTGGACTATTCTCTCAGAAAACAAAAAGCCTGGATTTTTCTCTGGGGTTCTGTCATAGAGATCCTCCATCACACTTGCTCTCTGTCAATGCTGGGCCACTGGCAACCCCTTCACCACCCCATCTATACCTCAGACACAGCAGGGATGGTTCCAACCAATTACCAATGAGGTCACTCCAGTCTTTGGCAGTGACTCATAGGACCCTGTTTTGGATCACATAATTTTGCTTATTTCACAGGGGCTGTGATGCTCCCTCCCCTCCTTCTATCTCCCCAGTGTGTTCAAAGAGCAGCCTGGGGCACAAAAATAACCAAACAACTGGAACCCACCTCTTGGTCGGTGAAAATCTCTATGAAGTTCTGGAAGGAGAAAGAGCCGGACTGGAGAATGAGCTCTCCGGTGTTCTCAAAGCACTGCCCAGTGAGCACAAGCAGCTTATGTCGGGCGGCGTCCGTGATCATCAAGCGCACCTGAAAGAGCGGGCACAGAATGTGAGTGTGGGCAGGGCCCCGACTCCCTCCACAGCCGTGCCAGCCTTGGGAGCACACTAAGCTTCTGCCCAACAAAGGGCGCTCATTTTCTAAGAGTCTAATTTCTTCCCCTAGGCATGGGGGCAGGGAGGGTTGCACAGAGCTCTGGCTGTAGAATTTATCTGCAGAATTAATGAGTGTGGCCATTAGATCCCCAGTGAATACCAGTTTTCAAAGTTTTGCTTCAACCAAGACAACAGTGGTGGCTGATTTCTCCCCTTACTTTCCTCCCCTTTTCAAAGCCATCTTCACAGCTGGCAAGTATCTGTTACACAGCTGTTCAGAAGTATCTGCTCATGGCATGTAGGCTGTGAGGCCGGGAAAGACATGTGAATATCTGGCAGGCTGTCACCATGTACAGTCCGGGTCCCCCAAATATCCTCTCAGAAGGACAGGTTCCAAATAGTGCCCCCACTCATCTGTCCTATCCAGAATCCCTTCCCTTCCCAGCCACAGAGCAAGCACACTGCTCCACACGCAGTCTCCAGTGGGACCAACCAGGTACCTGACATTGAACTCAAACAACAAAATCCTTCCCCTGAATAGAAATCTTAGAAACTCAGTTGCAAATGGTTTTCACTAAAGAACTCTCAGTGAACTTTAAGTGGCAGGAAGCCAGTTGGACTTCCACAGAAACACCACTGTAAGCATCAAGACATTGGTTCAGAGCCCAGTTCACGAATGTTCAGCACATGCTACGTGCCACACATCACACTAGGCTTAAAAGTTAACAGGCTGCTGGGGATGTAGTTCAAGTGGTAGAGTGCTTGCCCCATAAATATGAGGCCCTGGATAACACACACACACACACACACACACACACACACACACACACACACACACACACACACACACACACACACACACACACACAGAGTAAACAGAACACAGTCTATTGCTCTTCAGATTAATCATAGACAACCCAAGCAATTTCTTCAGGCCCATCCAATCTACTGGTAAGCCAGGATTTCTCAAAAAATAAAATAAAAAATACTTTCCCTTTTTAATGTCTCACAGTGGATTCTAGGTATTCTGTCTAGCCATATAAATCCTCCAGTTCTTTTCAAATCATAATTATGTGTGAATTTTGTTAGTTACAAGGAGACTGCGATCCTAACATTTTTTTGTGAACTCATTCTTAGATGGATTGGCAAAGAGGTTCTGCTAAGCTGCAGCAGGTATCCATGGGTCAACATCATGTCACTCAAAAAAGCAGTACTGGTAGCTCAGGTCTGTAATCCTAGCTGAAGAGGCTGAGGATTGTGGTTCAAAGCCATCCCCAGGTAGGTAACTTTGTGAGACTTTTATCTCTAATTAACTACCAAAAAACCAGACATAGAGCTGTGGTTCAAGTAGTAGAGCACTAGTCTTGAGGAAAAACCTCACAGACAGCACCCAAGTCCTGAATTCAAGATGCAGGACCAGCACAGATAGATAGGTAGGTAGATAGGTAGGTAGGTAGGTAGGTAGGTAGATAGATACATAGATACATAGATACATAGAGATAGGACAGATAAGACAGACAGACAGACAGATAGATAGATAGATACATAGAGATAGGACAGATAAGACAGACAGATAGATAGATAGATAGATAGATAGATAGATAGATAGATAGATAGATAAGCAACCCAACTATCCAGCAACTGAAGTATGGATAAATAGCTACAATGGAATATTAGATAGCCATAAAAGGAATGAAGTTCTGATATATACTAAAACATTCCTAAACAAAAACACTAAGTAAAACCAGCCATTTATAGAATTCCATTTATAGAAAATGTCTGAAACAGACAAATCTAGAGATAGAAAATAGATCCAGGGCATCAGATAGAATGGGAAATGATAGCTAATAGGCCTAAGGAGGACCAGTGATGGTCATATGTCTTGGAATTAAGTAGTGGTGATGGTTGCACAATTTTGTAAATAAACTAAAAATTATTGTACTACACACTTTAAAAGGATGTTTTTAGTGGTATATGAATTGTGTTCCATTTTTTTAAGCCAGGACATTATCAGAAATGATAAAAAGCAGGGGCAAGAGAAACTGCAGATCTCCCAGCATCTTTGGCTACATTAATGTCCAAAGAAGCAATTCAATCTCCAGGGTATGAAACCAACGTAGAAATGGAGCTGTAACAGCAACTTGGCCTGGGTAATCAGGGATTCTTGGCTTCAGCCAAATTCTTAGGTAAGCTCCAAAGCTCCAGTTACTCTCTCTAGCAATAATTTCATGTGTCAGTAATAATAGAATACCTCTGCACATCACCTTTATAAAAGTAATAATAATATAATAACAATAACCAACACTGACATTTTAGTCATGTTATATCATAGCCTCTCCTGAGTAGTTGGTACCTCAAAGCACATTAAGTAGGAACATTAGAAGGAGAAGCTGTTGCACAGCTTGTCTCTAAGATGCTGCTTTTCAAAAAGTTCCTGGGGAGGGAAGAGTGAGGGAGGTGGGGGAGGGAAGGGATAGTGGGAGAACAAGGGAAGGGGTAACAATGCTCGACAAGAAATGGACTCATTGCTTTACTTGTGAAACTGTAACCCCTCTGTAAAGCATCTTTACAGTAAAATAAAATTTTTTAAAAAACAAATGAACAAACAACACAACTCAGCTCTTTCCATAAAATATTATCAGAAAAAAAGGTCGCAGAAAAAAAGTTCCTTTCGTTTATGTTTCAGGATATAGATAACTTGAAGTCTCTTTCCTCTCATCTCTACTCCTGCAGCCATGTGCCCCCTGCACACCCCAAAGCCTACATTCTTCTTTGCCTCAACAAAACATTATGACTCCAGCTACATGGCTATGACAATCCGAAGTGGTACTGATGCAGACCTCCAGCCACCGGCTAGGGGTTAGGAAATACCCCTGGGCCCAGGTCTTCTCCCCTTGTGTCCCTCTCTGACTCCCATCTGAGACCCTGCGGAGGCAGGTGCTTACCTCTGTGCTGACTGCTTCGTCGGAAGGGTTGATCAGAACCACCGTTTCCAAGATGTCACTTCGGTGATGAAGGATCTTTTGTCCTGCAGGCACAAAAACACACAAAGAAGAGGCCTTTAGCTTTTTTGGATGGAAGCTGCCTTCTTGTTTCTGGGATGGCAGAAGAATCGCTGCCTCTGATGCAGCACCAGGTACCAGGACCTTCTACACTGCCTTGGGAAACACGGTAGCGCTACTGAACAAGAGAGAAGGCACACCGCAGGTCTGTCCCAGAGCTGGGGCTGTGTGGCTCAGGGCTCGCCAGGCTCTCACACTCTCCCGTTTTCATGGTTGATCTCCAAGCAGCCTCCTGCCCTAATGGCGGTTTTCATCAGAGACAAGGCAGTGGATGCCAGAAAAACTCAACAGGGCTCTTGACATTTCCTTTCTCATGGTAATTGGGGATGTTTCTCCCTATCAGCCTTTCTTCTGGTGAGAACTGTGCCCAGATTAATTAGGAGCCTTATTGTAAAATGAATGACATCCAGAAACCAGGACTAACAATTAGCCTCAACAGCTAGAATGGCTGTCTGAGGCAAGCTTACGTTTTGTTGGGGTATTCATTAATTAATTCACTTGCTCATAGAAAAGTGGAGAACAACCCTCCCACTGGATAGGGCGGCTAAATTGCCTCCCTAAGAAACAAGCAAAATTGGTAGAGAACAACAAAGCAAGGTGTTGTGTGGGATGAGAAAGTCTGGCTACAAAGGGCTGAAACTATGCAGGGCCCTACGCTACGCAGCTGCCACTTCCCACACCTCCTAGCCTTACACTGTGGCTGAACCAGCCTCAGTCAAGGTTGACAAGAGGCCTGTGGATGGCCTTCTATCAACTCTTCTCTCCCTGAACCATGAGATGGGAGCCACAAAGCTGCTATAGCAAGAGTTGGTGAATATATACTTTCCTGTAGCCTAAGTTTCCAGGCAACTGAAAAGGGACAGAGAAGGAGGCCCAGAACAAGGGAAGAGGAAAAGAGCATATCTGCTACCTGGAAATGCAGGTGAAAGGCAGAAAACGGAACAATAAGGATGGAAGGGGGAGGGGGAGGAGGGAGGGAAAGGAAGAGAGCAAGCACTTCAGGGAGCCCTTGTTAGTTAAGCTTTCTTCCTTTATACCATCAAAGAGCTGAAATTCAACTGCACCAGCATGACCATCAGCAAGCCCTTGCTCCTCCTCCATACTTCTGTAACGGCTAGGATTTACCAGTAGATGCTAATTAGACATAGCAGCAGCCCAAACTAAACAATGTCCGCATCAGGCAATGTTCTAAGACTTTATATAATCCCTGAAGAGCTCTATGACATAGGTGCTATGATTTATTCTCGCTCCCTTCCCCCCCCCCCCCCCCGCCATCACTGAGACCACAATGAGTCAAAAGAAGAGAATTAATTAGCCCAATGTCACATAAGTAGTAAGAGGTCAAGATCAGTAGAGTTTGGACTTGAGCTGCCTCACTGTACAACTTTCCTAGGTGACCTCCTTACAATGGGTTACTAGCTAAGGATTTGCAAAAACACATGAGGCACTATGTGAAATGCCAAAAGAGGAGCTAGGAAACAGATCAAAGGAATAAAACCAGACATACATAAAAAAAAAGAAACCAGGAAGCATTAAGGGGAAGAGTACTGACCCCCCCAAAAAAGGTGGGGAACAATAATAACAAAAATCAAGACAAGAAAGGAAAGTTAAGTAGAAGTATTTTGTGTCATATTCCAAACTCGTAAAGATGAAGAAACTTCGCATCAGAATAACAACAACACATAGTTCACTCAGGCAAAGAGCTAAAGCCCATGAAAATAAAATAATGATGGGGGAAAACAATTTATTAGAGATGCTACATCCGATAATTTGTTGGAAATTACTTTGGGGCTTTTAGGTTGTTTTTGCCTTTCATAAGCACGTGCTGAAATGCTAAAGCCAAAGGCATGAAGTTGAATGCCAAGTACTGATGGCTCACACCTGTAATCCTAGCAAGCCCAGGTAGACAAATCTGAGACTTTATCTCCAACTAACCAACAAAAAGCTGGAAGTGGAGACGTGGCTCAAATGGTAGGGCAGCAAAAAGAAGCAAACAAAAAAAAGGCATGAAGTTGAGACAAAGTAGGATGAAGGTTAAGATAAAGGAAGACAATGGTTATTTCTTCATACCAAAGCATCAGGCAGTGCCATGCCTGGGAATATGACTGTCATCACTGACTGTATTCTGTAGGAATTCACAAAAGCAAACTGGAACAAGATGATGAGAACAAAATAGTCCCTTCCCCCCTCCAAGAGAGAAATCAGAGCCCCTTCCTTTCCTAAAGGCAGCCACCCGCTGCCCTAACCCTGAAAAATACACAAACTAGCAACACCAGCTGCAGCACAAGCTCCTGCTCATTCCTACCAGCTCCCTGTAGTGGGAGCTTCCTGACCAGGGGCTTCTTACCATCCACCAGACGTCCCCTTCCTCTCTGTCTTCATCAAATGCCACATGACAGCTGCCGATGACCTCCACCTCACACAAGCCAACATTCAGACCAGTTCACCTAGAAATTCAACTAATGGTTTCTTTTGGTCCATCTTTGGAAGTCCTGAGAAGAATGACGTGTCCCCCAAGATGCTATATGGCTGCTCCTTTAACAAAAGCCTTTTTATAGGATTGATTTAAATGAAGGAGGGAATTTCAAGGGAGAGAGAGGCCTCCTGATCTCAGGGAGGCTGGACTAGTGGCCTCAGATTCCTCTCCAGGACAATGTCACTGGGGGCCGGGCCTTTCCAGCATCTGGCAGAGCCACAGCCTGGCAAAAGGGCTGTGGTTCCAGCTCTCCTCCCAGCATCTCTGTGGGTGCCAGTTCTCCCGCAGCAGGAGGCTGGGGCACTTACAACGCTGCATAGTTGCAGCATGTCTCACACTGGGAAGCAGGCCAGGCCTTCTGAAGGAAAGGCCACCACCCTTGCCTGGAAAGGTCTCATTCACTGGCTTCAGGAAAAAAAAAAAAGTTCCCAAGAACGAAAGAGCCATGCTCCAATCATTCTAGTCTTCCTGTTGACCACTTACCCTCACCAGGAAACCACTGGGTAGCACCCATGAGTACTTAGCCTTACTCAGTGCTGGCCTGAAGGCAACCAAGGTGAGCCTGGAGACAGAATGACTGTCGCCTACGGCTACCTAAGAAAATGTCTTCTAACCTAAACGAAGCTGAATGTAACTGTGTAGCTGGTCCTGGCCTGGCCGAGTGAGGGGCAGGTGGAGTGAGGGACAGCGAGAAGCTTGTGATATGGCAAAAAGGGTCTGCTCCCCCTCACAATCAGAGAGGCAGGAGTGTCTGGAGAGCCTTGAGGCACCAGGGTCCTGGCAGACAATGGGGCTTTTGTCTGTGCTCACTATGTCTACGATTCAAAAAGAAGCCAGTCTTCATTTTCAGCTATCACTGGGATGATTTTCTTGTTGAAAATCTGACAGATGAATCTTTTCAAGTTGGGGCAATTTTAGTAATGTTTCACTATCCAGATTATTTTAAGATATATATGTGTATATATGTGTGTATATTTTAAGATATGTATATGTGTGTACATATAAAAAACACATACATACTACATATATATGTAATATATTTAATTATTTATACTATTAAACATAAAACATGAAGCAAGCTAAGAGACTACTCAGGAAGAGAGAGAGAAGAATGGAAAACAAATGAATAACACATTGGGAATACACATGAGAGCAGCATAGGGAAACTCAACAAAAGCTGATGATCAATAGGGGTTGGGGGAGAAATAAACTGTGGGGATGGGGGTAGGGTCTAGGGGAGAGGGTTGGGCTAGCAGGGAGGACAAAGGAGGCTGAATATTGTAGAAATAGATTAGCTCCATCTATGAAAACAAAACAAGCAGGCCTGTTGGGAATGCTACTGGGGGTGGGGGCCAGGAGTGTGATAGAGGGGATGAGATTATTCGGAGCACAGTGTAAACATGTGCAGAGATATAACAATGAAATCCCCCTAACAAAGATAAGCTGGGAAAATGTTGTATGTGCCCTTTAGTTATATTGACGTCTGGTAAACTACAGATATCTACATGTTGCTGCACATAGCTCTAAATAGACCAGGCTATTCAGGCTGAGATCTGAGAACCGAGATTCAAAGCCAGCTTGGACAGTAAAGACCATTAGATATTTATCTCCAATTAGCCACCAAAGAACCAAAAGTAGAGGTATGGCTCAAGTAGTAGAATACTAGCCTTGAGCAAAAAAACTTAGAGACAACACCCAGGCCCTGAGTTTAAACTGGCATATGAGCGTGTGCACACGCGTGTGCGCACGCACGCACGCACACACACACACACACACACACACAAATAAATAAATAAATAAAGCAAGCAAGCAGTTGAATAGGTGAACAAATAAATGAATCACTGGATTAAAAAATTATCAAAAAAATTCTTAAAGCCAAATGGTATGTCCTATGTCTATAAGAGTCTAAGATACTCTTACGGTCTCTCTTTGTCATTGAGTTTCAGATTCATCTATATACCCACACTCTTTTAGAAGCTGACTATAGTTGATTCAGACACAGAGCCACAACCAAAACCCCACCAACCTGAGAACTTGGTGGTCTTGTACACATGGCTGACTTTTCTCTCACACACAGCAGCCCCAGAACACAGTAGCTGGAAGACCTTAACTTCGGCTAGACTATTATGTCAGCTGGGAGACTTCTGGGCTGGGGCCAGAGCAGCTCTGTGTCAATACAGGCGACTGCTAATGCAACTGCCCAGAGCAAAAGAGAACAGGCCAGCTCCAAGGCAGGAGGGACTGGAGCTCGAGCCAACTCTGGAGAAAACAGGAACTACTGCCCTTAAGAGGATAGTAACCATTGGTGTTAAGAATGAATATTTTCATTCCTTTTCCATGACTGATCACAAGCCTAAACTTTATTTCTACAACTTTTTTTTCCTAAAAAATAATCTTTTCTTTGCAAGCATAATATAGAAATAGCATTTGGAGGACAATAAAGAAAGCCTTCAATTTCTATTCTGCAGGGAAAAGAAAAGGTGAAGGTCC